TGAGCTTACCTATTGATGAGCAATGAGTTAAGAAATGGTCAGTTCACTTAACTTATGATTGTTGTCTAATAATTATCTGTAGTGCTATAGGGGTACATACTTTTATGGAAGATGAAGAACTACTTCTGCCTCATCTGCAAATGATGTCTCTAACAGCCATGGCCTTTGTAGCATTCTTATTACTATCATTATATTATTATACAATTTTAGTCAATTTTGCATTATTAAACATACTGTTTTGATCTGATAGCAAAATGCATTTAATAAGTAGAGGATGAATGAAAAAAAACAAAATAAATTAATGATAAAAACTGATTTGAAATGAGTTTTAGCTATGATTCCTTCTTCATACTTCTGGTAGCCATGTTCTTGGGGTGTGTCTATCACGTGAAATTAACACGTGGATGCATCCGGTCATATGATCAGCTACACTAATTACATTCCAGCATGCAACAAAAAAGCCTTGAGTGTCTCCAGACCCTTCCTCCAAAAGCGAAGGGGCGGGGCACGAGACTAAGGTCTTCCAAACTCCAAGGAGAAGATTATAGCATCAATTTCTAGAAGTGAAGAAGTGCTGCACATGTGGCACATAATGACAGAGGACGAAAACAACTTACTTCTCGTTGATGAAATGTATGAAACAATAATCAGAGAGTTCGTCACACTAAGAGGCTTTGCTTTTGCAACATCCGTGGTCGAGTCCTACAAGAAATTGTGTGGAAAAAACCTGCAGAAGAACAAGGGATTGCGGAAGACTATTCCTAATAATTAGTACCACTATAATTCCACTGCATTAAGTAAAAAGAGTCCATATAGAAGCAGCATTCCATTGCTGCAAGAAAATAAGATCTTTGGTGGCAAAAGTTGCTTTGTTCTAATTAAAGCGCACATTACAATAATTATCCGTGTGACGTCATCAGTTTCCAATCCCGGTTACGTAGTCTATAATATCTATGATTGTGGCCTCAAATAATAATAATTAAAAGGAGGTGTGGCAATGCGTGCACTTTTATCATAATGATGGCCTTTTTGGACTATTTTCAACTATTTTCGGATGGTAGGCTTTATGTTCTTTGGCTTTTTCCAAACACTGCTGGTCCTTTGTCAAATCATGTACCTCAGGGAGTAATTGTGTCAGCTAAAAGGGTGCTAGGGAGTCATGATTAATTTTACGAAATTTATGTTTGTGAAAAAAGAGAACTCAAAATATATAGCCCTCAAAAAAAAAACATCCTACGATACCCATAATTCATAATGATACAATACTACATCATGTCTATATTATTCACAGTGTGTGTATGTTTATAATTTTTAGGTGAATGGACTTCACCAAATGTCACTGGAGACAGACCACCTCCTATTAATTCCTTCACTTTAACATCAATGACTAATACCACTGCTATATTGTTTGGTGGTGATATTGATCAAGACAATGAGAGTAATGATGTATATATATTTGAATTCGCTAATATATCAGTGGTGAGTGTATTAATTATTAGTATAATAGCTATTTATTACATTAATTATTAATTAATAACGTATTGTACGTGCTTTAGAATTGTACCAAGCTTTCTAATCCTGGAGGATCAGTACAATGGCCTAAGAAGAGATCTTCTCATTCCAGTGTATTGATTAACTGTAGCTCAGGACCACACTTACTAGTGATGGGTGGAATCGGTGGATACCCTACTAAGGACTGTTGGTTGTTAAATATAAGCAAAATGAAATGGAAAAAACTGGTAAGTATAGTAATATAATTGTGGTGAGCATGAGTGAGTCCTACTTGTATGAAACCACTGTGATCTGTCTGTCTGTAATGATAATCAATTTAATACAGTACAACTGTTCAGTATAGACATGTGCATAATATGTGACCATAATTGACAAGAGGTACCTTATGGCGGGTAGTGAAATTTGTCTTTCTAGCCAAAGAAATCCAACTTCCTGAGCTCTATTGATCATAAAATTACTCCACAGGATTCAAAAAGTTACTATGTAACTTTTAGAAACAATGGTTGTCCAGCAAAGCACTCACAGGTTGATATTTTTCATTATAATGATGAATTTTAAAAACCGCCATAAGGTACCTTTTGTCAATTATGGTCACATATGATAAAGAAATAAAAGATTATGTTGAGTAGTTATTTTAAGAAAGAGCTGTTGTCATTTTTGTAAGTGCGATTGACAATGAAGGAGAAGGATACAGAAAGCATTTTTTTATTCTGCAGATATATTATTTTATCATTTTTAATTATATAGACTAATATACCAGACAGTGTCACTGAAATGATAGGGCATTCCCTCTCAGTTTGGAATGAGACACAGACCACTCACTGGATAATTGAGTTTGGAGGAAAAGGGAACGATACAACATTTATTGAAATCAGTGAGTACACTGTAGACGTAAAGACTTGTCGATACAATGTGTACTGAATATGTAATATTATTATTATTAGTATCTAGTACTGGTGATTTGATAGTACAGTCAGTACTGAACATTAATCAATATCAGAAGAGAAGAATACAAGGTATTAACACATACATTTACATGTACATGTACCAAGCACATCTTTCACTTATATGTGAGGTACGCTCTTGCTTGCCAGCCAATAAATAATTTTATTTCATGTATTAGCAGCTAATGAGATTCCTAACCATCTATTGCTTGATGAAACCTTTTCACAATCATAACAGAATCCATTGTAGTACAGCAATCATAAGTACATACACAAAATCAGTAATGGTTAGGTATACACTCACACACTAATTTAAAAACTTGGACTTGAAAAAGGTATACATCACTGATACACATACACACACACATTGTACAGGTATATGTACTTTAAATGTGGAATTCCCAAATAACAAAGCCTTATCACTCAATAATGTGAATGATTTGATAATGTAAAAGCTCTGATATGTCTCTCTACACAATTTACTTACTTACATGTACATGTATATATTACTGCTAAAACTAATTTATATGTTTCCTTTATTAACTATGAAAGACTTTATAAACTAGTGAATTATTGTTGATCTAAAATTGGTACAGGCAATCTGGACAAGAAGCCACAAAAGGGTGACCTCCTTAGGTTATTCAAAAGTTCATCTGCCCATTATTCAACCATTGGTACTGCACTTGATGTTCAAGTGGATGACTTGTTGCATAGTCCAATGTTAGCCTCTGAGAAGCTCATACTAGTGTTCCAGAGATGGATAGACTCCAATAAAGGAGTGATCTGGAGAACGGTACTACAAGTTTGTGAAGACTTTCCAGACCAACTTGGACAAGCAAAGGCTAAAGTGGAAGGATTCCTATCATCAGACAGAGCCCGTGATAATTATTAATAATAATATACTGTCATTTATATTATGCTAGTTCACTTAGTCTTTTCAGCTCATAACTCCAAATTTACTTGTCAGAATTACGCCACTATAATTTGATTCATAGTTTCTCCTTTCATGGATGGGCTGATGTGGGTGGGCAGCTTCATTAATATTCATTAAAATTTTAATCATTGCTGTATAAATTGATGTGCACAGTGCATGAAT